GGCCGGCATGAGCTTGAAGTCGTCTTGCAGAATACTGAATTTCTGCCTCCCTATGACCCCGCAGATAGACCTAAATTGGCTCAATATTTTCCTTGGAGATGTCGGCAACCCTACGGCGTCCACCGCTGTTATGCGGAACCGTTCCTTAGGAATTTTGTTCCTTGTCCTAGGAGTACGTTCCCTTGAGGACCCACTAGTTGTCGTTGACATTGGTTCGCCTTGCTAAGACATTGTCTACTTTTTTCCAAAAAAACAAAAAAAACACAATTGAGTGCTACAATCTATTACAATGAATTGAATGTCACTTATAAAAATAAATGAAACATATAAATAAACTAAATTGCGCATATCACAATGATAGAATGAATTGAATGGCACATATAAATAAATTAAACATATCATCAAATCCTAAAATCATAAATTCACCTCATACCATCTATTCATCCACATATCATGCATCTATCACTAAATTGATTAATGCACCACATTCCATCTATTCATCATCATGTCATCAATCAAAAAAATCATTCGTTTACCATATATCATCAATCCCTAAAATCATCTATCAGTAAAATCATCTATCACTAAATTCATTAATGAACCACATTCCATCTATTCATCATCATGTCATCAATCACTAAAATCATTCGTTCACCACATATCATCAATCCCTAAAATCATCTATCACTAAAATCATCTATCACTAAATTCATTAATGCACCACATTCCATCTATTCATCATCAAGTCATCAATCACTAAAATCATCTATCACTAAATTCATCCCAACATCCACATTTCATCCCAACATCCACATTTTCATTATCAACCACATGCAAGTAGCAGAGGGAGGCGCGTTGGAGGACTCACATGAGGTCGGTCGGGGGGGCTCGGTGGTGGCGGCGGCGGGCTCGGTGGAGGGCGTCGCCGGTCGGTGGAGGCGGCGGCTGGCTCGGTGCAGGCGGCGGGCTCGGCGAAGGAGGAGTTCACGGCGGCGGCGCCGGTCGGTGTAGATGCCGGTCGGGGAGGTCGGCATCGGGCCGACGTCGCCGGCCTCGGTGGGGGCTGCTGTTCGTGTCGGTGAAGAGGCAGGCGGCGACGACGAGGAAGGCCGACGCCGGTCGGTGTAGAGACTCGGTGGCGGCGGCGGCGGGCTCGGTGGAGGCGGCGGGCTCGGTGGCGGTGGCGGCGGGCTCGGTGGAGGCGGCGGGCTCGGTGGCGGTGGCGGCGGGCTCAGTGGAGGCGGCGGGCTCGGCGGCGGTGGTGGCGGTCTCGGTGGCGGTGGCGGCGAGGGAGGACGACGGCGGCGAAGGAGGAGTTGGCGGCGGCGCTAGGGTTCTAAGGAGGCGGGAAACTGTAGCGGGACTTAGAAAAATTTTCGATTCGATCTGAGAAACCCTAGTTATATTAGAGTGATGAGTCATCTCAATCGGGCTTTGCCGTAGAGCCCGTCACAGATGACTCATCGGTGACGGGCTCCATACTAATGCCCGATTGAGATGACATTCAGGCCCGTCACGGATGACTCATCTGTGACGGGCCCTAAGATAATGCCCGATAGAGATAGATTAATCTCTATCGGGCTTGAACTAAGGCCTGTCACCGATGACTATTTTTCCATTTCCCAGATAAGTCTTTATATTTGTGAGTACAAAATATATAGCTACTGTATAATAATTCATTTTATTAGTCATAACACATTTTTGGATAGTAAATGATTTCAAATCGAAATATGGTCAACAACAAAATTGATCTTCTCATCAAGATCTACAACTTTTATTTTGGTCATTTATCTATATAACTTTGTTTCTAACAACTTGAAATTGATTTTGACAATATGACAAATGTAAACAACATTTGTAAATATTACATGACTTTAAATGGGAAAGCCATAAACAGCTAACTTGTACAGCTAATCAAGATCTACAACTTTTATTTTGGTCACTTCTTCATCCGACAAAGTGATAGTACCAATGTTTACAAAATTGACATATCTGTGTTGATATTTATAAACCAGATGAGAGAAATGTGATTTTTGTGAATAATATAACTATCACTTTGTCGGATGAAGAAGTAACCAAAATAAAAGTTGTAGATTTTGATGAGAGGATCAACTTTGTTGTTGACCATATTTCCATTTGAAATCATTTAGTATTTACTCATGTCACCGAAAGGATTCATGCCATCCGTACAAAGACATATCCTCACGTTTCTAGGGTCGGCAGCAAAGTCTTTGTGTTTTCGATCTATATTCCTCCATTCAATCGAATCCGCTGGGTGTCTAAGCATACCATCATTCCTTCTTTCCATGGCGTGCCAACGTACTAACTTCGCTTCGTTCGGGTTGGCAAAGATTCTCTTGAAACGATCAATGATAGGTAGATACCACACAACCTTTGCCGGACCACCCCTCTTTGACTTATTTCCTTTGTGAGCACTTTTCTTTCGCTTGTATCGAGAAGCATTGCAGACAGGACAAGCATCCAAGTCCGCATATTGCTTGTGGTACAATATGCATATGCAGTTGTTGGGACAAGCGTGAATTCTACGGACCTCTAACCCCAGTGGACACAGAACCTGCTTTGCTCCGTATGTCATCTCGGGCAATGTGTTCTCAACAGGAAGCATAGCCTTCAAAATTCCTAAAAGATCTGTGAAACTCTTGTCTGTCCATCCACTACTTGCCTTAAGCTTCATTAGGTCCAAGGTAACTGACAACTTAGTGTGTTTTGCTTTGCATCCAGCGTACAAAGGCGTCTCGGAATCACTTACCAACCTGCTGAATTTCATTCCATCTCTCTCATTCTGGGCTGGGTCCTCAACGTCACGTAACATGTCTTGCAGCAGATCGTGATCCACATCAACCATTTCACCGCCCAATGGAGAAGGTATAAACATGTCATGCTCATTTTCATCTTCCTGATTATGCGCACCACTTCTGTTTGCTGCTGCTCCACTTCCTGATTCTTGCTCTCCATGCTTCACCCAACATGTATAGCCCTCCATGAATCCTCGTTGTATCAGATGACCGTGTACGTCCTCTCCGCTATCAAACATATTCTCGTTCTTGCAATCTGCACATGGACAACACATGTAATCACTGTTTCTTCTTATCCGATCCTCCTCCGCGGCGTTCATAAAATTTATTACGCCCTTTCGGTACTCCGTAGAATGACGTTTCAAATTTTTGGCATACATCCAACTTCGATCAATTGCTACAAAAAAAACAAATTAGAGGCACATATTATAAGATCAGTATTGCAAAAGTAAGACATGATGAAATTGCTCAATTAATGATTTATATTACTGACTTGATTGATCCATTTTGATCACTTTTGGGAATTTAATTTCTGTTTTCCTTGGAAAAAGGACAAAAAATCGCCCCCTACAGCCTCCCACCAAAATAGTGAACAGTGGGATATAGTTACACTAGGTGGTGGGGGTATTTATACTGTGCAACAAATATTTGTAACGGCCCTAAAACAATCAACCGTGACGGGCATACAAGTAATCTCTATCGGGCCTTAATAAAAGGCCGTCAAAAAATAGTGTCATCTGTGACGGGCAATAAACTTATCTCAATCGGGCCTCTAGTTGGAGCCCGTCACAGATGACCCTCATCTGTGACGGGCTTCTTTTAGGGCCCGATTGAGATATGGAACCCTCATCTCAATCGGGCCTCAACTATAGCCCGTCACATATAAGTGTCATCCGTGACGGGCTTTAGTTTTATGCCGATATACCATGGCTGTGCGACCATATCTCAATTGGGCAAAACTTCGGCCCGATTGAGATTACTTCCTTGTGACGGCCCGCAAATTCCAGTCTTGTTATGGGCCGTCACAGATGGAAGGATATGTACTAGTGACCATTGATTAGGTGGTTTACATTGCTATGATATTCGATCTATATGAATTCGTGTAGATTAAAATATGGCCCGGAAAGTAACATGGACTCTTTAGTTTTATTTTTTTTAAAATTAATAATTCTGAAATCAGACATCATAAAAGACAGGGTTTGCTCTCAATTTAGAAATTTGTTAATTTAATTGCATTTTTTAAATTCATAATTAGCAAGTTGTAACTTATGTGAACTCCAAACCATGTACAACTAAAATGTATTATTTACTATTTTTAGAATTATTAAATCATAAAAGTTATAATTGATACTTCAAAAATGTATTATTTCTAAATTTACAAATGATTAAATCACGAACAATCTATAACCGTGGGTCTGGACAGAGTACAATTTTATATATTATTTAAGAAATTATTAAATCATATTTTTTTTAGAGTTGAAAATATAAATCATGTACTTTACAAGACTCCAACTTGAAAACGTGTAACATTCAGCAAAATCTGATGACCAACATATTCATAACTTGATTATATTTTTAATATTTATATTATTAATAACTATAGCCCGTGCATCGCACGGGTTAGCGTCTAGTACCTATAATAAATAGGTGCAAGTTTTTAATATTAAAGGTTTCGTTTTAAATAAAAACAACACAAAATACAATGGATGTCGGTTTTTATTTAGAATCGACACATATAATTACTTCAAGGTGCCAATTTTTTACGATTTCAACCCGCGGAGGTGGGAAAAGGCCTATAGGTGCCAGTTTTAGCACTTATGACACCTATTTGATGTTTTGTAGTAGTGCCATATGAGGCGAGGGGAATGGGGCACATGTGGATGACAAAAAAGTACACTAACCCTAAGCAGTGGCAGTTTTCGCAATGTATCAGTTATCCGTTTTTTATCTTGTCCGTCTCCATGAAATTAGCACTATAATCAGTTGATGGGTCAATAGGTTGGAAAACATAGCTGTTTAGCTTATAATTGCAGGTGCAAAACTTGAAAATATATTCCTATTATTGACTGTGTACATAGGAGACCGGAAAGTACAAGGTTTACTTGGACTGCTATTTGTATAGCAAGATAATTGTTGTACATAGTACTCTTATTTTACTATAAAATATCACTATGTGTTACCAAATCAACTGGTGCTTCGGCGCTTCCTTGTAGTTGTTGTAGATCCATTCTTGTCATGAAATAAAGCTGTAGCAGAAGATACATACTTAGTATAAGGTGATATTCGTGATTCCCACGTTGCTATTTCAAAATCACCACCTGAAATTGCCACCGATCTAGCTATTACCTCTTTGAACGATATACTTGGTTTCTTATAGTTTGGAATATCATCCCTTTCTACTCGAGGTGGCTTTACAAGAATGCAGGCGTGAGTAGGATAAGATGTCATAAATTCGGTGCTATCTACTGGCTGCTCTTTCTCAATGATATCTTTCGGATGCTCACCATATTTCAAAAAGTTGTTCTTCACCATCCTCTCGAAGCGTCGCAATATTCTAAGCCAGAAGTGAACATTATGGTTCCTTCTAAGCATGTCAGATATCATATTGGCTGTTATCAATGATCCACCCAATACTACTGCAAGATCATTTGCAACTGAGACCATCTTTGGATGGTCCTTTTGGTCGGTCGCTAGCATCTTGAAAAGGTAGCTGTACTCCTCCTGTGATAAACTATTTAGATGAACTGCCTTTGCTGTTCCGAACCTTGCAAGATTTTCAATCCTACTTATGATTACCACTTTGCTTCCTCCAGCTGTCATCTGACTTACAGTAGAATAGAAGTTTACCCAATCATTTTCATCTATGTCCGTAAAATATTCACGAACAATCAATGTCCTCTCCATTTTGAACTTTGCATGTGCTATTGATCCGCAGCTGCTATCTCCATTGATGTACAAAATAGAAGAAAAGTATGATCTGATCCGCTCATCATTGCAGACATGGCTGATCAAGGATTTCTTTCCTACCCTGCAACCACCAATGATTGGAAGAACAAGACGAGCACCCTGGTTACCTGGATTTTGCAATAAAAAATTGATAATTTCCTGCTTCTCGACATGATGAGCAAACACACAATTATCGGTGTAAAGGTAAGCATCATAGGGTCGGCGACACATGCATTCACATCTGGCTAGGAATACAACAAACTCTTTCACTCTACCTCCATCTGAAGTATTTATGTGTTTTTTGTGCAGCTCTCTAAAAAGCTTGCTTCCCATCTCAGAACAGCCACCCTTATATATAATTAGCTGGAAATGGTTCAGAGCAAAACCAGCAGCCATTTTATCCACAGCTGTTTTCAAGGGATGAGAAAAGTGACTGCAATTTGCCAAGTTTAAAGTTCTCTATTCAATACTATTGGTCGTTGATTGCTTTGAATATCTGTTCCTTAATTTTTTACCATCACACACTTTCTTGTATGAAATATTAATTAACTGGACTATTTGAAGAAACTAGTATTTTTCTTGCTAACGTACATGGCTAGGTGTGAAAATTTCTAAAGACTATGAGGGACCATTTGGACCATTTATGAAAGGAAAGCAACAAGTTGATTATGGGAAGCTAGAATTCGTCCACTTGATAAACCCCGAGCTCCACTTGAAAATATTTTACCAAAGTGTATGGGATGTCATGGTATAGATTGAACCGAGAGGAGAGGAAGGGAGTCGGACTCGGTGGAGATGATAGCACGAGGTGGACACTCGGCCTTAGTTTGGAAAGGTCCCCCGTGAAAACTAGAAACAAATCTGCCCTTCCTTTTTTTTTCTCTTCTTCCTATCCGAAACAAACCCACGGAAATGAAAGGTAGATAAGTTGGAGTCCCGAAGACAAGCACTTAGGTGGTCTAGCTGACACGCGTAACTATACGATAAAGTAGCAATGGCTAATGTTTAATCTAAGCAAACCCAATAAACCCTGAAGGGGTACCAAGCTATTTAAGGAGGTGGGTAGATGACTAAGGGGTCCCTAGGGTCCTGCTCCACCTAGTTGGGGCACGCCCTGCATGGCCCCACTTAGGCCGAGATCCCAGATGAATTTACGAGTTCATAGGCTAAATATAGGTGACACAACACCTTGTTTCTATTATTCCAGCCTATGTAGTTGGAATTTGGAGCTGAGCTTGGATCCGTTTGAAAGAGGACTGCAAAAGCTTTCCATCAAGTACTCACGGACAAAAAACGGAGCACGTATGCATATTTGGTGGCCGTTTGAAATCAGCACTTTAGCATGTGGCCGAATTGGATTTCAGAACTTGGTCAGATTGATCTTGATGCAAGCAAAGGTTATATTAAAAGTCACCATGGTCACATCATCGTATGAAATATTAATTAAATTGACTATTTGAAGAAACGAGTACTTTCTTGCTAACGCACATGGCTAGGTGTGAAAGTTTCTAAAAACTATGAGGGACCATTTATCAAAGGAAAGCAACAAGTTGATTATGGGAAGCTAGAACTCGTCCACTTGATAAACTTTGAGCTGCACTCAAGAAATTTTTACCAAAGCTTATGAGATTTCATGGTATAGATTGAACCGACAGGAGAGGAATGGAGTCGGACTTGGTCGAGATGATAGCACGAGGTGGACACTTGGCCTTAGTTTGGGAAGGTGCCACGTCAAAACTAAAAACAAACCCGCGATTGGAGAACTGATCTTTCACTAGTGGAGAGTTGCCCTTTTTTTTTATTTGCATGGCCCTGTTGCTGCATGGTTTATATATATATATATATATATATATATATATATATATATATATATATATATATATATATATATATATATATATATATATATATATATATATATATATGCACCATGGTGCCCGGGCACCATGGCATCAAATACACAAATTCAATCAAAATTTTCAAATTGTGAGTATATACCTAGTTATAAGTATTCGATTCATACCTACACCTCTTAACAAAACAACTCAAAATTTAACTTTATTTCACAATCCAATATTACATACCTAACTAATTATATGTTTGGATGCCATATACCTAGAATTAATCAAAATCTAACAAAAACATGTTTAAACTAAGTTCAAACTTGTTTTGAACTAGTTAGAAAAGTAGTTAATGTTAATACCTAAATATTTAAAAAAATTTCATACTCATTTGAATTGAGTATATACTCAATTTGAACCATGGAGCTCGGGCACCATGGAGCACCAAACAAATATATATATATATATATATATACATATATATATATATATATATATATATATATATATACATATATATACACATACATACATACATATATATATATATATATATATATATACATATATATACATATATATACATATATATACCTATATATATATATATACATATATATATATATATACATATATATACCTATATACATATATATACATATATATATATATATATATATACATACATATATATGAGTTGGATTTTTTGCACGCGAGTTCACATGTACCCACAATCTACACCCTATATGTAGCTTGCACGAATCTTAGGGCAAATATATTAGGTGCTAACAAAATGTAACATGCATGATGTTTACGTTATACTATATTTTTTACAAGTGTAAAATACGTTGTTTATGTAATTTTTGTATTTCTTGTATGCAAAACTTGTTTATGTAATTTACCTTGTTTATATAAATTACCATGTTTATGTAGTTTTTGATGGTAGGATATATATCATTTTGTAAGTATCATTTTTGCAAGATGACAATTTGGTGATATAGTAGATATATTGTTTTCTCATTTTCACTAAATATCATGTTATAAACAAAATAAGGGTTAGAGAAATACAATGCACTAGATATATAAATGTCATACATATGATTATTATTGAAAAAAATTATTTGGTAAAAAATACAACATACATGTTATACATATTGTGAACCAACCTAATCCTAATCTTTTCTCCCTATAGTAATCATTCATTTGGTTAAGGTTAGGTACATTTTGCAGCACGAATCTTGGAACACATCAACGGTGTAGATTGTAGGTACATGTGAACCCGAGTGCAAATATGCATTTTCCTATATATATATATATATATATATATATATATATATATATATATATATATATATATATATATATATATATATATATATATATATATATATAGGGATGCGCTAAACCGCGCCTGGGGTGCGCAATAACTAAACTACTCCTCTCACAGCACTCCTCCCCACCCACCACCCCCCCTGGTGCCCAGGAGGCTCTCCCGCACCTTTTTCTCTCCCTCACCATTTGTCCTTCAGTAAATAAATTACTTGCAGTTAATATCTTCTTATTAGTAAATGAATTACTAACTAATATATTGATTTTTGCATTGTAATCCCGCACCTTTTGGCATGTCCATTCCAACTGCAACCCGCACATTTCTCTTGCACACGTAGTAAATAAATTACTCTCTGTTAATATCATTTATTAGTAAATAAATTACTCGGAATCCAACTCATTTCTTCTCTCAGTAAATGGATTACTCCCAGGTTGTAGCCCTTCTCAGTTGGTTCATTCTCTCAGTAAATGAATTACTGTCGGGTTGGTCTTATTTATTCTCTTAGTAAATAAATTACTTAAGATAATACAACACTTAATTGGATATCATACCTTCTCGCAGTAAATAAATTACTTAAAATAACGTATTGATATCGTCTCAAGATTTTCTTAGTAAATAAATTACTATTACACCAATCTCAACATAACATATTGACATTGCCAACAAATTCTCTTAGTAACCAAGTTACTATTACACCGATGGTTCTCAACATATGTCTCTCAGTAACTAAATTACTATTACATGCACGAATCCAACAAGCAAGACAACGCTAGTGCCTCATATCGATGTTGAGCCGACAAAGCACTATAGATTCCTTAGGTCTCCCCATCGATAGGTATCCATCACCCACGAACATCTAGAGAGGCATCCCACATGCACCTGGATATAGACAGAAACGATTACATCATCTAAGAGAAGTCTTTAATTTACACTCATAAATGACTCTAAATGAGATATGATTCGCTGAAGAAGAAATAAAATGCTTCATAAAAAATTGAGCAGCAGGAAGAGAGAATATGTGCAAAATGCAGCCTCCATCTGAAGAACATAAATCGAGTAGAATAAATTTTAGAACTGATGAGTCTATACTGCTTTATTTACAGGAATACACTCCATTAGACTGATCATAGATTTCAGATGTTCACATGCATGTTAAATTAAGAACCAAAATTCTAATTGACACATTATCAGTTCGCCAAGATAAATCCAGAAAAAGTGTGCAAAGTGTACGACATGAAACATTTAGAGCGTCCAAGTCAAATGAACCAAGGATCCTATATCTTCAGAGATCACCCGGATATCATTGAGGTCAAGAGAAAAGTTCAATTTGGCAGTCAGTAAAGATCTGTTTCTAGGGAACATATTATTATGCATAAAAATGATACTAATCAAATAGACTCGTCCTAAATTTTTCACGATACCAATGCCCAAATAAGCTAAAATGATATGGAAATTATTCATGGATGAAAACTCCCTTGGTGTCCTTGATCCGCACCTGCGGAACTAGTGAAGGACATGCCATGTGCACATGAGCAATTAGAACAACAATCTCAATCCTCTGAATATGAAAAAAAAAAGCATACTTAGGCAACAAAAATTATTGTGTGCCCAGTAGCAAAACACCTGCACCAAGAACAGGGATTTGTGCCAATAGACTGAACAATAAAGGTCTCAATGTACATCGTTGTCAGTATAATCCTCATCTGCATTGATGCTGCATCCGGATTCTCACTCTGCCCCTGCGAAAAAAAGACATATCTTGTCTTTTCATGTCTAGTTATAAACAC